TACAATATTATACAATAATACTGTTCCAGCTTACATACAAATTCGACTTAAGGACAGACCTTGGGAACGGAACTCTTTCTTAAACTGGGGACTACTTGTAAACATTTTAGAGCATATTACAGATACATACTTTTTGGTTTAAGTTAAGATACTTGTATTATAGTTCCAGGACACCAGATAAAAGCCTGCATGCAAATTCGTGAGTCCGAAATTCCAGATACTAGCATTTTTTGTTCCAAATCATGAGGCCTGCTAATGCTTTAGTTTTGTCTGGGTTGGGGAAAAAAAAAACACCCAGAAACAAAAGCATACATTAATGTCTTTGCCTGAGCAAACTACAGTTAGAGGTAGCAAGGGCACAGAGAGTTAAATAGAATAAAAATATTAAGGTTCAACTAAAGAATATTAATCTCCAGTTGAACCATTAACCAATATCATAAGCAGATTTTCAATTCTGTATGCATTGCATTGAGGTAGACAGCTGATACTTTTGAGTGAATTGTTCTCTTATCAAGAAATCATCTGTTCTCCTTATGAAAAATCTGTCCTCATTTTTGTAAGTCAGATATTTGAAATGTTGCATTAGGTTTATTCTTAACTAATTTTTCCTAATATCATGTGTAATATAATTTTTTTGTTTAACTTCAGGAGAAGTTGAATGATGTCATACAAATTTGGTAGATATATATGCCATGGTTTTCTACAAGTGGCTTAATGTGAGTTAATCAATTTGTTATTAGTAATTTATGAGCATAATGTTTTACATGCTTTGTCATCATTGGGTTTTGTAAGGTTATAGAAATGTCTTTAATGTTTACCATTTTTAAAAAATATTTATAGTAGCATATAAATATTTCTTTATTTTCAGAAAATAGAATGGCACATTTGTCAGATTGGGGCAAACATGACTGTTTTATGTCTGATTTTTTCAATGTGTATGTATTCAAGTGAATAATTTCTGTTACTTCATGTAAATAGGATTGATATTAAAGAGAAAAAAACTGAATTAAATAACTGAAAGAGCAGGTGATTGACAATATGTCAAAGATGACTAAAGAGAAAACAAATTAATGCTTGTATGAGAAGGTGTGAATTTGGCAAAGAAAATGTGAATGCCATTTATCCAAATTAGAATATAAAGGTAATTAGTCCACTTGAATGGCATTTATTTTGGATAACTATGTCTTAGAGATTTCTTATTAAAAAAACATTCAGGTGACTTCTTTATTATTATTAGAATATTACAAAAGAGGAACAGTTAATTCTTTTTCAGTTTTAAAACTTTAATTCTGTTGTACAGCAGTGATAGATCTTTTAATGTGGGTATTTTTTTGCTGCTCAATTGGAATGTGATATATTGAGCTTTGGGCTGCAATCCCGTAGAAATAAACTCCATTGAATGAATATAATTTATTTCTGGATTTTGTAGTATAGAATGATTCCTTAATTATGTGAAGAATAGAAACTAGGCTGTTATAAACTTACTTTCTTCACTTTGCTTAACATTGCTTGCTGTGAAAAGGAATAGCGTGATAGTTATATGTGCATGCTTTGTGGTAGTCTTCCCAATCTTGTACCTTTCCATATTGTTGAATATGATTTCCATAATTTCCTAAATGTTTTGAAAAACAATAAGAAATAATAAGTCTCAATCAATCCAAGGGAATTATTGCTTAAATATGCATAGGATTATGCTGCATGAATACAAACATGTACATTTACCTCTTTAGAATTCCTTCTAAATATTGTGGTACTTCTGAATAAGGGATTCAGGGATTGGATTGGGCTGATGAAATATTACCCTGATTATTACAACTTCTATTACAACAAATTAAAATGTTGTATATACTAATTACAAATATTATCCTGATTATTACGACTTCTATCACAACTTTTTAAAGCTCACCAAAAATTTAAATATCAGCTGGACTAAAAAGATTTAGAAAGATTAGCAATTGATAAACAGCAGAAGCTCAGTTTAGTTTTGATGTACTATACAAATGTTTGGCAGTGGTAATCAGTGGATTACCCAAAATTCATTTCCCAAGATATGTTTTCCGTGTGTTTGATGTGGCATATACAGAGTGCATAGCTGATAACAGTCAGTTGCATTCTACTTTAATTGTCAGCAGTTTGAAAGTAAAGTCTACGAATGTGTGCTCTGTTTCAACCAGATTTAAGGTTCAAGTGTATTAAAAAAAAGTTCTGTAAATCTATATCTTGCTAAATTTTCATATCTTGCTTTTCCAAATCTCTGTGCCAGTGTTGCAGCTGTCCCTAATGGTTCCCCACTCCTTGACCAATGCTGCTGCTTAGTTAAAGAAATTTGTGGCAAAGCTGATGTTTATTGATGATCAAATCGCTTTGGCCTACAGGACGCATTATCTTCTCAAGTGAATATGGTTCAATAATTTGCGTGGACTTTCCCAATACCATTGACTGCATTATTACTGCTCTCAAATGCAAATGCACAGACAAGCATACCGCCTTAGATATGAAAGGCCATGAATTTGAATGCGCAGGGTTAATTGTCTTGCCCCACTGTCTGCTGAGTTTACCCAGTTGGTTAGATGTCTACATAGATGTTTAGATAAGTATTCAGGATCCTTCAGAAAGCAAACTTCCTTTGGTATATGCTGAAAGTCACCCTTATAGAAGTGTTAAAGCAGCAGTTCTTAAACTGGGAATAATTTGGGCATATTCTGGGTGTAATGGAACGATTTGTAATTGCTTGTTTGTGATTCAAGGATCCAGTTTGGGAGAGCTGCTGCTGAGACACTTGTTAAAACAAGAGAGTTCTTTTGTTGTTGTGAGGATAACAAGATTATTTGAGGCTGGGAAAAGGGGTCACTGGGTTAACAGTAAAGGATTTCACTATAAGGTGGGTGACTGTTTTATTGCTATAACATTATATTCAAATTATTTGCATATCTATATTAAAATACTGAATTCAGAAAATGTATCATTGATGTGTAAGGTACGTTCAGTGTTGTACTCTAAGGGAGCAGTGTAGGCACTCTTTTAGTTAGTGGTACCATTTTCTGTCATTTATGGAAGTGATTGTTTTTTCCATTCATCTTGGGGGTATATATTTCTATTGGAGTTAAGGTGAAACTTTAACCACAGCTATTTTTTAAATTAACATTAAATAGATTCTTTAGCATGGACTATATTCATAGAAGCACATAAAGTTTAAGCTAAATTAATAAATCAGGCCTATATATATATATATAATAAAAATAAAAATATGGTAAGTATGTTTCCAAAACACATTTCTCCAGCATACAATGCGGTGCTTCTTGGTGAATGTAGAAAAAACGGTTTTAAATGATATAGCATATGTTTTATGTGTTTAAAGTAGGAAGTTGAGTGCTTGGAAATTCAAGTAAACGTTGAAGGAAATTTTGTAGAGTTGTATTTCTTTATAGAACATTCTGAGCTATTTAGAGTTGGGGTGAATCATATGTCTATGTAAAATAGTCAACATCTGTTCAACCCAAATAATAAAGTTATAAATCTTCTTTAATAGAAGTATTTCATTTATGTGATTATAAATATAGCTTTGCATTATATATAAAACAATAATTTACTCTTTAGGGCTCCAGAGAACAGGCACATTGTGCTTATTATGTAGATTATTGAACAATATCAACATTGCCATATATAACAATGTATATGAAATAATTTACTTGCAGCATAGTTTGGATTCATGCATTCACTCAGTATATTTTCTACAGTAAAGGGACCGTGCCCCTTGTTTATTTACCACAATATATTTAACACAAATGATTGTATTCTGATGTTAAGAAATGATGGGAAATGTAAGGCATCGTTTGCACTGGAGATCTTTGTTTTAAGATTCTTAAGATGCAGCTGCAAATTGGAGTGGATTGGGGGAAATAAAGAAACTTGCTAGGTGGGAAATATTAAAATGTAATACTCATTACCAATATACATTTTAAAACAACTAAGTCACGTACTTCAGTAAAACCTAAAAATAAAAATGAAATATACTCTGAGGTCATTTTATTTACCATCAGTAGCACAGAAAATGAAATAATTGTACAAAAGTTACATTTTTGGCGTATACATTTTTTTAAAAATCCCTAAGATAAATAGATAGATTACAAAATAATAAATTATTTGTTGGTTAATTATTAGCCATTAAAATAGAGCATGAATAGCACAATCCCATGGTCATTTATTTGAAATGATTTTTAAGAATGTTCAGTAAGTTTTACTCTTACTTAAACATGTCAAGGAGCGCAGCCTCAGTTCTTTAAAATGCGAGAGTATTGACATATGCATATATATTTATATATAAATTTGCTGTTTCCTTCTGCTAGATATGGAGACCAAAGGCTATCGCAGTTATTCAGAAAGCCTAGATATGGAGAGACGCTGGAGTCAAGGTTCACAATCTATGGACTACACTCCTGCAGGAGCAGAAGAGCAGTCTGAAGAGAGTAATAACTATATGGAGATCGTAAATGTGAGCTGTGTTTCTGGTGCTTTTCCAAATGCCAGTTCTCAAGGAAGCAACAAAGAAAAACCTGAGATAATTTCTTGTCTTCAGCCAGATCATAGTCAGCCTGGTATTTTAACCTCTGACATAAAAACTGAGTTAGACTCCAAGGAACTTTCTGCAACGGTAGCTGAATCAATGGGTTTATACATGGATTCTGTAAGAGATGCTGATTTTACCTATGATCAGCAAAGTCAACAAGGAAGCTTAACTTCTGGAAAGATGTATCAAAATGTTGAGCAACTAGTAAAACTATATAAGGAGAATGGCCATCATACCTCTCCCTTGAACACCCCAAGTAGGTCCTTGAGACCTCTAATATCAGACTGTTCAAGCTCTGTGAATGGTGGTATTGTGCCATCTATCATCAAAAGTCCTAGAGTGTGTCAAGAGAAGAATCCTTCTGATTGTAGTCCTCAAAGCATGACTCCCTCAGTATGCAGCCCTCCTGGAATTAGTTCTGTATCCTCAACTACTCCTACTAACTTTGCAAATTTCACCGTAAATAGTCCAGTAAACCAGGGAACACCTTTGCCATGCTCACCCAACATTGAAAACCGAGGTTCAATGTTGCACAGTCCTCCACATACTAGCAATGTGGGATCTCCTCTTTCTAGTCCTATAAGTAGCATGAAATCGCCTATTTCAAGCCCTCCTAGTCACTGTAGTGTGAAATCTCCAGTTTCAAGTCCTAATAACATTACAATGAGATCCTCAGTATCCAGTCCTGCAAATATGAACTCAAGGTGCTCTATTGCCAGCCCTTCCAATGCCAACAATAGATCCACTCTTTCTAGTCCTGCAGTAAGCACTGTGGGATCTTCAATGTGTAGTCCTGTAAATGGTGCAGTTACTTTTCCTGTATCTAGTACATCAGTTGGACCTGGTGCAGCTCAAGACATGGTTCCTAGTCCAGATTCAAAAGAGAATAAAGGTGCTTCAGAAATTCTATTTCCTAAAATAGAGGAAATAGAAAATGCCATCCCTACCAGTGAAGTAGCTAATCAGATTAATATTGCTCAGTTTATAAAACCTGAACCAGAAGGGATATTTAGTAGCTCATGTCTTGGAGAAAATAACAAAATCAATTCCGATTCTCCATTTTCAGTATCGATAAAGCAAGAATCGGCTAAACATTCTTGTTCTGGTGCTTCTTTTAAAGGGAATCACACTGCAAATCCCTTTCCATTTATGGATGGATCATATTTTTCTTTCATGGATGATAAAGACTACTATTCTCTTTCTGGGATTTTAGGACCACCTGTTTCATCATTTGATGGCACATGTGAAGCTAGTGGGTTTCCAAATTCAGGTCTATCCATAGGAATTAAACAGGAGCCTGAGGAGAACAACTACTATCAAGAAAGTACTCTACCATCTTCTGCCATTGTTGGGGTGAATTCAGGTGGACAATCATTTCACTATAGGATTGGCGCTCAAGGCAGAATAGCTTTATCACGGCCTGTTGGTAGAGAGCAGTCTTTTCAGCATATGAGCTCATTTCCTCTAGTGGAGTCATGGAAGTCACATTCTGAATTGTCTGGAAGAAGAAATGATGGGTATCCAGTTCTAGAATACATTCCAGAAAATGTGTCAAGGTAGGTTTGCTTCATTACTTATTACCTAAAGAGAAAAAAGTATCTACCGTAATACATTTTTTTATGCTACTGTTCTTCAGAACTGATTATTTAGATATATTACAACATGTATTATTAAAATATTGGTCAGTTTACCGTATAAACATGCTATATTTTATTGCTGGATGTTATATGTGGCATAATGGTTTCCAAGCTTTTCCTTTGTTTATTTATTCACTTAAAACGTGTATGCTGCCTACTCATAAGACTTTAGGCAGCTTATAAAGAAAGCAGGTTTCCTGGTTATGTAGATAACCATATTGTTATTAAACATGTTTGTGGTCCCTCATTATGCCGAGGTTGACAAAACAACATCTATAAGCACCACTGCACACAGGAAGCTTCTCAGCCTAACAGAGGTTCTAAAAATATATTTGAAATATTTTAAGGGTATGAAAAATGTCTGAAATGTTATGAGAGCACCAAATCTTTCAAGATTTCAGTAACCTTGCCTGAAACATGACAGTTTTCATGGTGTTTGCGGTCTTTGTGAGATTTTTTTTTTAATCTCATTTTAGTACCATTTAATACCATTAAGAAAATTGCATTCTCTCTCCCTGCTGCCACCACAGACCCACACTGGATAGGTAGTTGGTTAGCAAAACATAGTCTGGGGTAATGAGTGTTGGATATTGACATTGAAAAGGAAATTCACTGAATTATCCAAGTCAGATAATGGTTTATGTTAGATAAACCATTTAGTGGTTGTACTGCATAAGATTTCACTGGCGAAATTTAAAAATGAGTTGCAAAACCCTTCAGCAACATTATTTCCTTATTTTTACTGCAAGGATTGTTATTAACTGTAGGTATTTTCAAATGCTTCCTGCAAATAGAAAGGTAGCAAAGATTAATAGCTTTAATTAAGGGCTGTAGCATAGAGCAGTTTTGCCCATTTACAACACTGTGTGATTATTGTTTTCATAAGAAAAGAATAATTTTACATAGGAGACTGAAATCATAAGTTGGTTTAATCAAGGCTTGCTCCACTAAACCTTTTTATAGTCTTAATAGTGGTAGAGAGAGAATTCTTGTATTATACTACAGGAGTGACTACTGAGAAACCTATTTTGATGTACCTCCCATTGCCAGTGACATGACAGCAAAGATCTTTCCTTTGTACTGCTCTTCCTGGATCTTTCTTTACTCTCCAGTGGTTGCTTTTCTTTTCTATTGCCTTGTTAGATTTTTTTTTCCAGTTTTCATTAATATATTTCTCACTAGTGCCTTTATTATCCTATGTCCATTGACACATGAAACATCAATACATACAATTTAATGTTGATGCCATACTTAAAATGAAGATAGTCTGAGACAATAGAGAAGAATAGAGCCTGTTCAGTACTGAAAGATGCTTTCCATTGCCTTATGGTGCCTGCCATTGCCAAGTAGTTTTTTCACTCAGTGAGATTCCATATACTCCATGAGGCTTCTGGACAGTTTATGAGAAAGAGTGATCTAAAATGGAAAGGGGAAAGGATCATGTACACCTTTTCACAGCGGTGATTCCTAAAACAACTCCTTCCCAAATCAATTTTTAATGAACTAATAAGCAAACAATGGCACCCAATCTTAGCTACCTTATTTGAATATAATGTGTAATTAGGCTATTACAGATAATTTATTAATTTATTCTTCAATAGCACTGTAATGCCAAAGATTTACAACCCTACTTGTGGATTTCAAGTTTTTTCTTTTTACTGTTGCATTCGTTATTGTTATTTCTTTATATCTCTTAGTTGAAGAATGCTCATTTTTTGAAACCTGATTTTATGAATTAAAAAAAAAAGTTTCTATTACAACCTTCAACATCGCATTCAATAATACATCTCTCTCTCTCTCTCTCTCTCTCTCTATATATATATATATATAAAATTAAAGCTTTTGAATTCCATTCTTATATTTCTGCCTCTACCAACACTTCAACATTTATCTTTGAAAATTTTTGAAAAAACTGAAATATTGCTATTTTAAAAAGATACTTTCTTCTATATGAGTTCTACTATAATATGTGCTTAGCATATTCTATTATTGTTATATTTTATTATTTTATTATACATTTTAATTATTTTTTTCACTTATTGATTTATAATTAAATAATTATACTACTGGATCATTTTACTATTAAATTATATTATGCTAGTATAATAGATATTTCACTCATAACTTAACAAACAAAACCTAAACATGAGGGCACTTCAAGTGACAAATTTAGTTTTATTCCCAGTTTTGTCTCTATAGAATGGATGAAGCATACTATTTCTTCTTTGAGGAGGACGTTCTTATTAATGCAGTCACTGGGTTTCTATGGTACATTTAATACATTTCTGACTACTAGTCATTCTATCAAGTTGTTTCCTAGTGCATTTGCATGAATGTCTGAATGGAATTAGAATGTCTTATGTCCTTATATAGTGGAGCAAAATGAACCTTTTCTATATTTTGTCCTATGGCATGATATAAGATTGCTTGAAAATATTGTCCAAAACATACCTAATTGTGCAGAGTATTCAGATTAAATTAGTTTGGTTAGAATGGGATTATATGGACTGGAGTTTTGGTACAATAATATATGGTTTACAGGTAGTCCTCATTTAGTGACTGCCTTGTTTAGTGACCATTTGAAGTTATGACAATGATGAAAAAGTAACTTTACAATCAGTCCTCACATTTACGACCTTCGCAGGTTTGTAAAGCAAAGGAACACTTAAGATCATAAGCATAGTCACAATTTCACTCAGCAACTACTTTGCTTAATGACTGAATTGCTGGTGCCAAATGTGGTCATTAAACAAGGACTACTGTATGCTGGTACATTACTGATATTGCTATTATTTTGGATTTAACTTTGTTACCTGATTATATTTTAGTATTGTGTCTGAACAGCATATATTAAGTTATAGGAAGGAAGGTCCCAGTTTAACTTACATAAGAGAACAGCAATTTGTCAGTGGTAAATATGATGAACTTCCCTTCCCTGAATGTATTCCAGCAGAAACTGGAATCTGATACTTTAATTTGGATTGAGGTTGCATGTTGTGTCTCCATAGGCCCTTTCAACTCTGTCGTTTTGAGATTCTATATCTACATAAATTAATTAGATTCCGTAATATTTCCTGTAACACTTCAGTCCATGGAGATGATGTGATTTGATAGTTTGATTTTGCGGTAGCTTCTAGATTTGAAGAATCAGTGATACATCAAATGATTTGACTGTGGTAATTGTACTGGAGTTGCTAGTACTTTCTGAAGAGATAGAGTCTGAAATAAGCATGCAAAACAATTTAGTTAGAAAAATAACAAAAATAAGCACATATAATCTTTCAGAATGGAGGATACTAATTCTATTCCAAAATAATTAAGGTATTATCATGTTAACTGGAAATCTGAAATTAGATTCACATGTGGCTCAAGCTATCCTTCCATATCTGTATAATTTTTCCTCAAAACAAGGACCTGAAATGTGTCCTTAAAGCTACCAGTTCTTGACTGCAAAACTCCAGAGGATCACGAGATGGCAGCAGAGGGACACTGAAAATGCTTTGTTGTCATGTAGTGGTTGTCTGGATTTTAGCAGCCAAATGTAGTAGCCCTCTATGTCCATAATGTATAATTCCTCTGAATTTAGGGCTGAATGAATGTCTAACCAACCATTTGTGACAAGGTCGGTTTTCTGTAAAAAATTGAATCAGAAAAATTTCTAATGCCTTGATGATTTTTAAAAGGTATTTTTAGTGAGTAAAACTATCATGCTACACTGTGTTTTACATGATGCATAAATATTTTATAATAGTTAATGCTCTAGAATTGAAGGTTATTGATTATAGGAAAAATCAGTCAAGTCCACTTCATTTAGCATTAAATGGAATGTAAATTCAATAGCATACTTGTTTGAATTTAATAAGTAAAAACCAAAAGGACACTAATGTTAACACCTAAAGAGATGTGATTACATATGTAGGCATAATCCAGGTTCAAGTGTCTAAAAAAATATTTAGAAGTCTGAAGCAGTCTAGTTTTATAGGCATTATGATTTTATAAAAAAATGAAAAATTGCATTTTGTGAAATGGAAACTCTTCCATAAAAAAAATGAAGCAATAAAATTTTTATTTCACATTATTACTGATTCTCCTTGGGTTGGCGATAAGGAGTTGACCTCATTTTGAAAACCTGGATTGCCACTTCCTATAGTTATTTGAGTTGAAAAAATGGTTTTTGATCTCAGATGATCATAGCATCTTTCTGTTGATAATTATTTAGAAATTTCATAGAGAAATTGTCAAAAGTTACTATATTTTGCATTAAAACACCTGTCTTTAACCAGAATTGTGAGGATGTTTCATTAATCAGTCATGCATGTGGAATGATTAGAGCTTTTATTCTTCTTGGTTCATGAAAAAGATTTAGAAGTGGAACAAATTATTAATAAAGAGAGACTTCCTGTGTTGGTAGGCAGTTTTTCTACTGTTTATTGTTTATGAATAATAAAAATCAAATGTATTCAGATCTAATTTAAAACTGACTTATTCGATCAAGGTCATTTTTCTATTGATGTTAATGAATTTATTATTTGTAAGACAGATGATTTTTCTTATGCAAACATCATTTTACAAGTTTGTATTTTTAAAAATAGGTTAGGAACATATACAACTTTTCTGCATTAGAAACTGACGTCCTACTTCTTTTGCTTTTGTGTAAGATCATGCCAATGGAATAAAGAGATGTATTGTAATTAATAATATGCAAAATTAGTGATAGAAGGTGAAAACATATTGTAATATCCTCTGCTCTGTTTGGAATTTCTAGAAATCTCAAAACTGCCCATTATTTTAGGAAATGCTATGACATTTCTGCATAATTATTTTTAATAGCTTTTGAGGCCTTGTAATTGAATAGGTACATCATTTCATTAAGAGCTTTTTCATGACTATTCCATTTTATAAGACTAGAAGTTCAAAGC